GATGATCCAGAAGAGGATTGGGAGAATGTCATATGGTCAGATGAAACCAAAATATAACTTTTTGGTAAAAACTCAACTCGTCGTGTTTGGAGGACAAAGAATGCTGAGTTGCATCCAAAGAACACCATACCTACTGTGAAGCATGGGGGTGGAAACATCATGCTTTGGGGCTGTTTTTCTGCAAAGGGACCAGGAAGACTGATCCGTGTAAAGGAAAGAATGAATGGGGCCATGTATCGTGAGATTTTGAGTGAAAACCTCCTTCCATCAGCAAGGGCATTGAAGATGAAACGTGGCTGGGTCTTTCAGCATGACAATGATCCCAAACACACCGCCCGGGCAACGAAGGAGTGGCTTTGTAAGAAGCATTTCAAGGTCCTGGAGTGGCCTAGCCAGTCTCCAGATCTCAACCCCATAGAAAATCTTTGGAGGGAGTTGAAAGTCCGTGTTGCCCAGCGACAGACCCAAAACATCACTGCTCTAGAGGAGATCTGCATGGAGGAATGGGCCAAAATACCAGCAACAGTGTGTGAAAACCTTGTGAAGACTTACAGAAAACGTTTGACCTGTGTCATTGCCAACAAAGGGTATATAACAAAGTATTGAGAAACTTTTGTTATTGACCAAATACTTATTTTCCACCATAATTTGCAAATAAATTCATAAAAAATCCTACAATGTGATTTTCTGGAGAAAAAAAATCTCATTTTGTCTGTCATAGTTGACGTGTGCCTATGATGAAAATTACAGGCCTCTCTCATCTTTTTAAGTGGGAGAACTTGCACAATTGTTGGCTGACTAAATACTTCTTATATATAAACCCCAGTCGTACTTTATCAAATGCCTTTTCGAAGTCCGCTATGAATAGCAGGCCTGGTTTCCCAGATTTTCCATAGTGTTCTGTTGTTTCCAATACTTGCCTTATATTATCTCTAATGTATCTTCCATGTAAAAAACCTGTCTTAGAATGAATAATATCCGACAATACCTTTTTAATTCTATGCGCTATACATTTTGCTAGAATTTTTGCATCACAACACTGAAGTGTAAGGGGCCTCCACATTTTTAAATGGACTGGATCTTTATATTTTCCACTTGTATCCTGTTTCAGTAATAATGAGATCAGACCTTCTTATTGAGTGTCAGATAATCTACCATTTACATAGGAGTGGTTAAAAAATGCTAATAACGGTCCTTTTAGTATATCAAAAAAGGTTTGGTATACCTCAACTGGTATGCCATCCAACTCTGGAGTTTTCTCGGACTTAAAGTATGTAATTGCATTCAGAGGTTCCTCCTCTGTAATTTCACCTTCACATAAGTCTTTCTGTATGGCTGTTAATTTTACATTATCAATAGAAAAAAATCTCTACAATTAGCTTCAGTTAGAGGAGATGGAGGCGACTGAAACGAAAACATATGCTTAAAGTACTTTGTTTCCTCCTTCAAATTATCATTTGGTGAATCATGGGTTACTCCGTCAATTGTAACCAGTTTCATTAAATTATTTTTGGTAGCATTCCTATGTTGAAGGTTAAAAAAGAATTTGGTGCATTTTTCCCCATATTCCATCCAGTTTGCTTAATTTTTTATAATATATTACACTTGATCTTTCTTGAACAAGTTTCTCCATTTCTTTTTGTTTTTCCTCTAATTTATTCCGAGCCTCTATGTTACAGTTGTTATTGCCATCTATCTGTTCTGTTAGACTTTCTATTTCTTTTGTTAGTATAAACTTTTTTGACCTAAATTGCTTTTGTTTTCAAGATGAGTACTGAATTGCATGGCCTCTAAATGCACATTTAAAGGTGTCCCATACAATAAGGGGATTTGCTGTACCTATGTTATGTCGGAAAAAGTCAGTTATAAATTCCTTGTCCTAGTTAAAAATAAATGATCATCCAATAGGCTTTGATTAAATTTCCAATATCCTCGCCCACGTGGAAATTCAGTAAGAGTAATGTATATGCCAATTATATGATGGTCCGACCGCATTCTGTCCCCTATCAACACTTTTTAACTTTTGGTGCCAACGAGAATGAGATAAGAAAGAAGTCAAGATGAATAGCTTGATTGAGTCTCCGCCACAAAATCATGGCTTGATTTTTGCTCTGACATGCACTGTCAACTGTGGGACCTTATATAGACAGGTGTGTGCCTTTCCAAATCATGTCCAATCAATTAAATTTACCACAGGTGGACTCCAATCAAGTTGTAGGACCATCTCAAGGATGATCAATGGAAAAAAATTTTTTTTATAAATTTGCAAACATTTCTAAAAACCTGTTTTCGCTTTGTCATTATGGGGTATTGTGTGTAGATTAATGAGTTTTTTTCTCCATCCATTTTAGAATAAGGCTGTAACCTAACAAAATGTGGAAACAGTCAAGGGGTCTGAATACTTTCTAAAGGCACTGTACTTATGGCGCTGCCTACTCCTGATTATTCGTTTTTCAAATCATATGAGCAAAATATATTTAGCTATATCTGGGATGCTAAACCAGACAAGATAAAGCGTGCCTATCTATATAATGAATATGAACTGCGTGGGTTGAGATTATTACATTGAAAAGCACCAAACCTCTCTCTAAAAGCTGCACTTATACACAAGTTTTACTTGAAACCTAAATGGTTCTCAAGTAGATTACTAAGAAATGCTCATCCATTGTTTAAAAATTGCCTTTTTGCTTTTTTGCAGATTGCCATGTCTCATTTTTGATTAATTGAAAATGAAACCTTTTTCACAGTATCTCTCTTTTTCAAACAAGCATTGCTGAGCTGGTTACAATTTCAATTTAATCCCCCTGAAAAGATGGAACAAATATTACAACAAATATTATGGTTGAACTCAAATGTGCTGGTTTAAAAAAGACCTCTATTTATGGAAAAGGTGTTTGAAAAGGGTATTTTGTTTTTAAATGATATTGTAAATTGGAATGGTAGAGTTATGTCTTTCATGGAGTTATCAGAATTGTATGGGAAGGTCTGCTCAATCCAAGATTACAACCAATTGATTACAGCATTACCCCAACAATGGAGGAGGCAGGTGGCAGCAGGAGGAGGTAGGGAACTGGTCTGTCTGCCCAATATAAAGGATAAAAACTGGCGGAGGAATAAAAATAGCATAAATAGGAAAGTATACCAGTTCAATTTGAGGACCGAGATGTTGACAGCTGTGCCATATAGATTGCAAAATAGTTGGGAAGAGATGTTTGATGTACTGATTCCATGGTACAGGGTGTATGAGTTGATATATAAAACGACACAAGATTCAAGACTTCGTGCTTTTCAGCAAAAATTATTGTACAGAACAAAATGTTGAATATTTGGAGCATACAATAATCGCTGCTCTGCAGATTTTGTTGTGAGGATACAGAATCAATAAACCATTTGTTGTGGTATTGCCCTCAGGTAGCCTGTTTCTGGTCTCAGCTTCAGGAATGGCTGAAAAAGCATAACATTAATAAAAAATTGACCCTAGAAATAGCATTGTTGGGAGATCTGGAGAGACCTGGTCAGTCAATTACAAATATACTAATACTCTTAGTAAAAGTATTTATCTTCAACTCGCAATCTGTGGATTTTATTTGATTAGATAGATTCTAATTGTATGTTAAACATCACAGCATTGTTGAAAGATATATGGTGTGTAGGAATCCGAAGAGGAGGGCACAGTGGGAGTGGAGTTGCTGGGCGGGGGATAGAATGACGGTCAAAGATAAAAGCAAAACAATTAAGTAAAACATTTAAAACAATTAAAAATAAGTTTGAATGACACTGAGGGGCAACGTTGTTACATCTAATGCCTGTTTGCCTGAGACTGATGCCGCGCAGGTGTTTGTAAGCGTGTAATAATAATAATAATATGCCATTTAGCAGACGCTTTTATCCAAAGCGACTTACAGTCATGCGTGCATACATTTTTGTGTATGGGTGGTCCCGGGGATCGAACCCACTACCTTGGCGTTACAAGCGCCGTGCTCTACCAGCTGAGCTACAGAGTGTACACATGCATATACACACACTCTCATTCAAACGCACATACATGCACATACACGGACACACACTTAAATTATTATTTTATTTCATTATGATTATAAAACATTTTGTGGGGGGACTGTGGGGGGGTCTCGGATGGTTGAGGGGCAGCTCTCGGGGAACTGTGGGGGGGGAGGGGGGGGGGGGGGGGGGGTCTTGGAGGGCTGGTGGCCTGGCGGTTGGGAGCTTGGGCCGGTGGTTGATAGGTCGCTGGTTCGGGTCCCCGTTTTTGACTTTGTGGGAGATCTGTCGACGTGTCCTTGAGCAGGGTGTTGACCCTGGTTGCTTCTGTGGGTCGCTCTGGATGGGAGTCTGTTAGATGACTGAATGTAATGTAAATAATACATATTTTTTAAAAGCCAAGGTTGGAAAAGTTACAAAACTCTGGTAGCCTACTTCACAGACAGCAAGCCGAAAAGTTGACAAAACAAAAAGGAGGAAAAAACTAAGAAAGGACAAACGAGGTACTAAACAATTAGAGCACCAAGAGCCTGCCAGTGTTGAAGCTGGAGTGCCACGTGCCCCATCTGTTTCTTGTTTACATCACACTTCCTTGTGATTGGTGGATTGTAGCTCACCACCGCCAACACTTGAACACTCGGTCTGGAATTTAATACATGCGGGCATGACTAGTAGCTAATGTTAGCCAGCTCGAGCTAGCATACGAACTCTGTAGAACAGAGTAGGTTCTTTGAATGACATTGCCAATAGTGCATTGTGGGTAGTTCCGAAGATATCCGAAAATAAGTAAAAACCCCAAAACATAAGTTGTTTTGGAGTTATAGGTAACCAGATTGTGAATACAGCTAAGATATGAAGTCTTTGACCAAACTCTTGCTTCCTACCCTTTAAAGAGAGACATTTCCTCTCCAGTACAGCAAGAGATGAGTTTCCTAAAAGCCACGTTAGCTACAAAGCTTTCCAGAAACTCATCCCTTTTCCCTCATTCCTCCATCTCCTAGGCGACTCCAATGAGAACAAGCCGTCTGATGACGAGATAGCCAATATGGGTTGTCCCAGTCTGGGAGAGAACACACACATTGAGGTGGTCATCGAGGAGTCCTATGAGTTCAAGGTGTGTGTGTGTGTGTTTGTGTGTGTGTGTGTAGGGGTTAATTTTTGTATTATTTTACTCTGTTTTATGTATTTGTTTTGTGTATTCATTTTGTGTATTACATGTATTGTTGTGTATTGGTTTTGTGTATAATTGTTTTGTCATCTTTTTGTATGGTTTGTGTATTCATTTTGTGTATCATTTATGTATATGTATGCATGTGTGTTTGTGTGTGTGTGTATGTAGTGTGGTGTGAACACACTTATAAGGAGAACTAAGAAGTTATACTCTCTCTTTGTCACTTTCTGTCTCTATATTAATATGCTTGTATGTTTCTGTACACGAACGCATGGGTGTGTATGTACAGTGTGTGTGAAGCATCTTCAGTAAGCTTATTAAAGACTATTACTAAATTATTTATCTCTGTTTAAGCGTCTGTATTAACTCTATAAGCTGAATCATAACTTGAGTTCCATGAGTAACCCAGGCTTTTGTGTATATCAATCAGGCATTGATATCAATGATAAATCAGTGGGAGATTTATGAAAAAAGTTAAAGAAAGTTACGATCTCAAGATAAGATTCAGCAGTGTGTGTGTTTGTGTATTCACTGAGTGCATGGGGCGGTCTCGTGCGTGTGTATAGAACACGGTAGATAAGCTGATCAAGAAGACTAACCTTGCGTTGGTGGTGGGGAGCAGCAGTTGGAGAGAACAGTTTGTCTCCGCTGTCACTGTCAGCGCAGGTAACTACCTCACTTCCTGTCTGCATGATGTCACTTCCTATCTACAGAATTTTCTGAAAACGTACTGACTGAACAGAATTTAACACATTTGGAATTAGAACCCAAACCCTCATTTGTTGTCGACGTGCCCTTGAGCAGTGTGTTGACCCTGGTTGCTTCTGTGGGTCGCTCTGGATGGGAGTATGTTAGATGACTGAATGTAATATAAATGTTGAGTGACTTCACTGCAAGTAGATTGTATGTTTTAATATTCAAAAAATTATTATAATACAAATAAATAAAAAGCCAAGGTTGAAAAAGTTACAAAACTCTGGTAGTCTACTTCACAGACAACAGGCCGAAAAGTTGACAAAACAAAAAGGAGGAAAAAACTAAGAAAGGACAAACGAGGTACTAAACAATTAGAGCACCAAGAGCCTGCCAGTGCTGAAGCTGGAGTGCAGGGGCCCCCACGTGCCCCATCTGTTCCTTGTTTACTCTTTATACAACACTCTCTTTATACAAGACTCTGCGGCTCATTGCCCCCCCCAGCCTTCCTCTGTCCCCCTTCTCCCCCCTCCAGGTGATGATGATGAGGAAAGTGGTGAAGAGCATCTCCCGTCCTGCTTCGATTACATAATGCACTTCATCACCGTCTTCTGGAAGGTTCTATTCGCCTTCGTCCCTCCGACGGAGTACTGGAGCGGCTGGGCCTGCTTCATAGTATCTATATCTCTGATAGGTACGTAACCCTGACCCCTAACCCACTGAAATTTAGGTGGAACTCCATACAATATGATATGCAGTTCTATTCACGCCAGGGGAACCAAGCAGGAGTTAACAACTTTGGTGAAATTCCACATGATTATTGCATTTTAGTTTTTGTGTATTGCACTTGCATTCAGTAGCATCTATGAATCACATGATTATGCATAGCATTGACATCAAACTAAAGAACCAAGGACACGGATGGTTCCTGATTCTTTTTGGTGTTTACACAACTGGTGCTGTGAGATTAGGATATCAGGATTCAAGGATGCTGTGAGATTAGGATATCAGGACCTGCTTAGACAAAGCAATTGTAACAGTAGAGCAAAGGGTCGCAATATATGGGAAAAGGAATGGTTGCAGTATTGCCGTTGTAATGAGTACATGATGTATGGAATGCTAAGGCATAAATGTATGAACGCGTGTATTCTTATTTTAAATTGATGTAGTTCTATCCTTGTGCTGTACTTGTCTATTAATGTTATGTATTATGCCATGTGTTATGTTTTGTATGGACCCCAGGAAGAGTAACTGCTGCTATAGCAGTAGCTAATGGGGATCCTAATAAAATACGAAAAAACTATCCCCTAACCCCTAACTCAATGGTACGGCTGGGCATGCTTCATTGTATCTATCAGTCTGATAGGTAGGCACTTAACCCCTAACCCATGACCCCTAACCCAACAGAGTACTGGTACAGCTGGGCCTACTTCCTGCTTCTGTATCCATCTCACTCATAGGTAACATGAAGTTCATGTTTAAAATGTGATTCCCCACCAGAGACCTTTCCTCATCTGTACCCCTTGTAATGTCTGACTAAACCTATACAATAATATTGTATTACATCCCTGAAAGTTGAGAAGAGTAACTTGTCAAGGAAATGTTTACAGTATGGATTATTTTATGTACCTGATAGGAGTTCTAACGGCTGTGACAGGGGACCTGGCCTCTCACTTCGGCTGTACCGTGGGTCTGAAGGACTCTGTCACTGCCGTGGTGTTTGTAGCGCTGGGGACATCTGTACCAGGTAGGCTACACACAGTACACACAGCGCAATAGGGTCACACAAACACAGCCTTATCTACACACACACCGCAGGGGTCACACACACAGCCTTGCATACACACACACACATACCGCAGTAGTGTTTTTAGCACCAGAGACCTGTGTCACACACATTCCTAAGTAGGCAGGCGTACAAGCACACGTGCAAGTTCTCTATCTTTCTTTCAATTACTCTCCATGTCTCTCCAAATTCTCCTCACGTTCTCTCTACTGCACACACCTGCTTTCATACCCTCTTACCCCTGTCCTTTTTCTCTCTTCTCTCTGCTCTCGGTTTGTCCTAATTATGCAATCACGATGATGTAATTACATTTTAAACTGTAACCTTCATGCCTCAGTACCCAGGTGTGTCTCCTCTGCTGTAGATGTTGCGACTGAGAGTATGCGTGCAGGCATTCATGTGTGGATTATGACCACCTTAGGGAGTGTGTGTGTGCGTTTGTGAAGATGGGATTGGTCTGCCTCTCCCACGAGGTGTTTGTTTTCTCTTTTAAACTAGTTGAAATCGTTTTTCTTGTCTCCCCTATTTGCCCATCCTCTCACCTGCTCCCTCGCCACCATTACCCAGACACCTTTGCCAGTAAGGTGGCCGCCATCCAGGACCAGTACGCTGACGGCTCCATCGGCAACGTAACCGGTAGCAATGCAGTGAACGTGTTCCTAGGCATCGGAGTGGCGTGGACCATCGCCGCCGTGTTCTGGCATTCCAAGGGCCAGGTGTTCCGTGTTGACCCGGGCTCGCTGGCGTTCTCCGTCACACTCTTCACGGTGATGGCGTGCACATGTGTGATGATGCTACTTTACCGGCGGCGAGCGTCGGTGGCGGGTGGCGAACTCGGAGGGCCAAGGACTACCAAGATCGTGACGTCACTGGTCTTCATGTCCATGTGGCTGATTTACATACTGCTGTCATCGTTGGAGGCATACTGCCATATACCTGGGTTCTAGAGAGGGATGAGAGAGAGAGGGGGAGGGGGAGAGAAAGAGGGAAAGAAAGGCAGAGGGGGAAGACGGGAAGGAGAGAGAGGGAGGGGTGAGTGAAGGGAGGGATGAGGGTTAGGGGAAAGAGAGAGGGGGGAATACACACATGGAGGGAAGGAGGGGAAAGTGAGGGAGGTTGATGAGGAGATAAAGCAGGAAAAAAGCAGTGGACAAAGAATGTTGGAAAGAGTTAGTATGGATAGAGGGTAATTAGGGAAAAGAAGAAAAAACCTACATAGATAGTGCCTCTCTAACCTATCCTTTTTCATCTCTCTCTCTCTCTCATCTCTCATGTGCCCTCTCTATTCTCTTCTTCTCTCTCTCTCTCTCTCTCTCTCTATCTATCTCTCTTCTTCTCTCTCTCCTCTCTCATCATCTATCCGTCTTCTCTTCCTCTCCTCTCTCTCTCTCTCTCCTCATGATCGCTCTCTCTCTCTTATCTATCTCTCTCTCGCTATTCTCTCTTCTTCTCTTCTCTGTCTTCTCTCTTCCTCTTTCTCTCTCTTCTCTCTCTCTTCTCTCTCTACTCCCTCTCTCATCTACTCTCTCTCTCTCTCTCCTCTCTCTCTCTCTCTCTCTCTCTCTCTCTCTTTCTTTCTTCTGCTCTTTCTTTCTTTCTTTCTTTCTTTTACTGCCATGGCGATCAAGGAAACATCTGAAAGAAGAACTCAACATCCCCAAGACAATGGCCGTGTCCGAAATCTGGCTTGCCTACTACTTATTTAAACTGCATTCTGTGTACTCGTCTTACTACATACTATTTAGAACATACTGTTTAGTAAAAATGAATGCAGAAAGCAACAAATATCAGCATACTAGGCTCAATCTACTGAGAATGGATCTTCTAATAGGCATTTGCGTTTATTCCTGCCATGTGGTCCTCTGTAGCTCAGCTGGTAGAGCACGGCGCTTGTAACGCCAAGGTAGTGGGTTCGATCCCCGGGACCACCCATACACAAAAAAAATGTATGCACGCATGACTGTAAGTCGCTTTGGATAAAAGCGTCTGCTAAATGGCATAATATTATTATTCATTCATTTTGGTGGGTCCCCTCAGCTGATTATCAGCTGTTGTCAAACACACGTGAGTCTCGAAAGACTATTTTCTTTCTCAATAGTTTGCAGCAAATTCTACTAGATGAAAAGCCGAAATGAGGATGACATCCTGGCATTCAAAGTATAGTCAATTTTGGAAATTTGACATACTAGAAAACTTTCTTTTTTTCTTATACCCAAAATGCCTACTATTTAGAACGCAACTATGGTTATTCGGACACAACCCATCTCCTAACCTCTGACCCCACCTAACGCTGTCAGTGGCCAGCTCCCCTCACCCCCTTCGACTTCTACAACAACTCTACCCCCTCCCGTTCAACCCTGAAGGGTCACTAGAAGCCACTACTATAATCCCCTGCTGTTGTCCTTACCTTACCTGTCCACTAGGGGGTGTTGTCCTTAATTTACCGGTCATATCAGAGGTGACATGTCAACCCCTGCCTTTCTATCTACCACTTTACTTGATGAGACTCCTCTTGTTTCTTCTCCTCTTTCTCTTCCCTTCCTCACTCACTTCGTCCAGCCTTATTATCCAAGAGAATGTAAACGTCCTTATCAACTGTACAGCAGAAATGGAACGTAAATGACAGAAAATAGATGTTGTGGTGGCAGCTGCAGAGGAGTACCTGGGTGTACACGTTTTTATTGCAGAAGAGTATAATGGTTGGTGATGCAATTCTGTAATATTTTTCCCACTTGTTTATTTTTTGTATCACAAATGTAACGTGATTGAAAACACACTACCCCACAGTAGGTGGTGGCATACACAAACAAATTTTGCGAACGCCATGATACCAAAGAAGAAAAATAAGATTACATATTATATATGACTATGGCCAGTGATGTTGTCTTGTTGTGAAAGACTCATGTATATAGCCTTGTGTCAATTGAGAATTGTTGACTAAATCAGTCAGGGGTTCTCAATTCTCTCTAGTGATGGGTAACCGGGGCATTCTGAAGGCTTCTGCGCTTTCACCAAATTGTGCCAAAAAACGGTTCATTACGCGGAGCTTCATTGTCAGTTCACAATAACCATTAGTGACATCTGCTGGTAAGCAATAAATAGTAGCGTGTTATTATAGGAGGCACATTTTTTTTCTTCACTGTTAAAAACTGTGGCGCAGTGGTAAGTCATTGGCTTTAGTAGCTTATAATCAGTTGGAATACCAGATTGTCATCTTACATCATGCTTCTCTTTTTTGCCTTCAAGTTTACTATTAAAAAAAACTGAATCTATGGAATTATTTAGGATGCTTAAGACAGAAGCTTATACTATACTAAATTAAACAAATTATTTGAACAACAGTGCAAAAAGTGTGGTTTAACATAAAACAATTTCCAAAACAGTGTGCCTTCAACAGGATTCGCCCTCATACCCTCACGTCCCTGAATGTTCTATAGTTCCCTACTCTACCTGCTAAGGTACCGGTCAGGTGAAACTGTTTGTACAAAATCCTAACTATATTTGTCAGTACGGTGTCCATTAGAAGTTGGTGTTTGAAAGCAGCTTGGAATCGAAGAAAGCACTGGAACCACAGCTAAATCCGTTGGATCTCGCATTTTGCAACACACGGTTTGAAAAAGCACGTGATCAAACGAAGCTTCGGACGTTATTGATGACGTACTTCTGATAAAGTGATTTGCGCATCGGCACACTGCTTCGAACTCATACAAGGCACATCAGAGCCACTCTGTCTCAGTACGTGTAGTGTAACTATATGATGCTGTCTAGTCAGAAAGAGTATGACATTGTTGCCGCCCATAGCATTGAATTCAAGGGAAGCCAGCGAGTGAGTGAGCTCAGCTGTCAATAGTCCTGGCGCACCAAACAAAAAGTGTCAAGGAAAGCCAGTTTGGATTTGACTTCAGACCAATCACATCACAAGCCAAATGTCATTCTTGACAGAAAAAAACTTGAATTGTTGCATCTTGTAGTGTTGTTGTCCTCCTGTGGCTAGCTAGCTAAAATTGCCCTTTCCTAAATTAGCCATCAATGGAGATAGGGATTTGGACTTAATTCTCCGTACTGGCAAATGATTATAACAGCGATTCTGATTCAACCATAAATTAATACATTGTGCCCCTGGTCTGAGAGGATGGAAGTTCAATTTGTAGCTAGATGTAGTATGCTAATGTTAACTAGCTGGCCTGGCGTATCATTGCCTATGAAAGGAAGTTAGGCTAGCGAGCAAGTATTTTAGCCACATCGTATAGGACAACAAAAACTAAAAGCGTGCACTGTATGATCGAGTCACAGACCGTTTAGGCAACATGAAAGAGGAGGATGGCATTGACGTTTCTCTACAAGTAGGGTGAGTCAACATTATTTTTTTACTTGCAAGCACACACACATAAATCAGTACCATGGACAGCCACATCATATTTGGCTTACGTTGATTGGACTAAATCATTTTTCGTATGTTTTAGTTGTCACTGTATTAGACTAAGCATAGGTGATTAGATGATGTTGAAGTTGGAATAGTCCTGGAATAGTGGAGGCACCTCCTGTTTTCTTTGCGACTTGAGGTAACTCTCCGTGTTTCTAAATCAATAGTTGTTTAGTAGTCTGAAAATGTCGGAAACATTACCTTGCTTGACCGTGCTGTAGGTCATGTAACTGTTTGTTTCATGTAATATGTTTTGTGGGCTTCACCGGACAGATGTTGCTCTGTAATGAATCAAATGTGTGGTTGAATTTATTCTGCCACTTTGTCTTCTTATACGTGTCCAAAAAAACAAAAATATTTCTTGCCATTTATGAACATCTTATTCAATGTGTTTCTATGGGCTATAGTAGTAATGGCCAAATTAAAATAAATAAATACATGTTAAAATACAAATTTAAATAAATAAATACATGAATATGTGGACAACTACAAATACATACGTGTCTGGTTAGACCGTAAACTCTCCTTCCAGACTCACATTAAGCATCTCCAATCCAAAGTTAAATCTAGAATCGGCTTCCTATTTCGCAACAAAGCCTCCTTCACTCATGCTGCTAAACATATTATTTTCTCCCAGATATAGGACACACACTTCAAATCCTTATTACTTATGATGTATGTTTTTACTGTATTTCTTGCCATTTATGAACATCTTATTCAATGTGTTTCTATGGGCTATAGTAGTAATGGCCAAATTAAAATAAATAAATACATGTTTATACCTAAAGGGGTCCTAAAATTCCAAATCAAATAGCTAAATGATCCATGGTATGACCACCTTAAAACAACGGCTTAGCCTTTTAGAGGTTAAGATTGAGAAAGGTTCTTTATAGAACCATTCTCCTTAAAGGTTCTATAAAGAACCATAAAAAGGGTTCTATATAGCCGCAGAAAGGGTTGTAACCATAGCGTAACGCTTTTTTAGTGCTATATAGAACCTTTTTTAATGGTTCTTTATAGAACCTTAGGAAATAGTTCTTTATAGCACCATACAGGTTCCATTTACAGCCTTATGAGCATGGTCCTTTATAAAACAATACAAAAATCTATAATGAACAAAAATATTAAACGCAACATGCAACAAGTTCAAAGATTTTACTGAGTTGAAGTGCTGAAGTGTTGAGTTGAAGCGGGGTACCTTCTCCGCTATGCAATCTGGTTTCCGAGCTGGTCATGGGTGCACCTCAGCCACGCTCAAGGTCCTAAACGATATAATAACCACGATCGATAAAAGACAGTACTGTGCAGCCGTCTTTATCGACCTGGCCAAGGCTTTTGACTCTGTCAATCACCGCATTTTTATTAGCAGACTAAATAGCCTTGGTTTCTCAAATGACTGCCTCGCCTGGTTCACCAACTACTTCTCAGATAGAGTTCAATGTGTCAAATCGGAGGGCCTGTTGTCTGGACCTCTGGCAGTCTCTATGGGTGTGCCACAGGGTTCACTTCTCGGGCCGACTC